TGTGAAGGTCTTTGTCACATTTATTTTGCCATAAGCGTATGATTATTTTGATTCAAATTTTGATTTGGATGGCGATTAATACCCTTTAGCTACAAACTACATTTGTTGTTTAAAATAGTAATTCTAACAAACAAATTTTAGCCAAGAATTGTAAGATTACAACCATATATTGTGATTATCTACACATTTTAATATCTTGTGGCTAGTAATTCTACGAGCTTTCTATAAAATGTCAATATAAAAGGTTAATTTGACCACAAGAATAAAATTAGAAACACAAGTAAAGTTATATAAATCTAACATGAAGAAGGCTAGTAAGGTAATATACATCTTAAAGATATAAATCCATAACTAATAAATCCATGATCAAATCAACTAAGCAAACAATGGACTCTATCAAATCCGTAATGCAACAAATCCCTAACAAATCCTTGGGTTTTAAAATTAGAAAACCTTCATTTTCAAATTCAGTGCGACCTTCATCGCGTAACGAATACATGCTTTTGGAGTGCATTTTAGGAGCTCGAAGGAGGATAGCAGAAAATAGCAGATAGAGAAACAAATGTAGATAGTCTGGTCGAGGAAGAATATTATTCATATGTAGATGAGATTTTATATAATTTATAAATATATGAAAAATATAATAATTTTTCATATATCCGGGCAAAAGCGGACTAAAACAATTAGACCATTAACCCTCAACCCACTTAATCGACTAGGCCAACGGGCTAAACTAGGTTGACAACCTTTGATACTTGAAATCCATCCAAAATTTTATGATTGAGTCAAATCGTTCAATAATTGTGAACTTTTCAGAGAGTGGTTGAAATTCAAAAGATGGTCTTCAAGGTTCTTTTGTAACGGACAAGTTTTTGCGTTTAATTATTGTTAGGTCGAAGGAAGAGAAAGCGGAACAGATAATTATGTTAATATTATAAATATAATTATAAATTAACCAATATTAATGATAAAGTCAACTCATTCACCAAGTGCCGAGTAAAATCTAGTAAATATATATATTAAAAAAAATTACCTGCGCTAACACAAATCGGCAGAGAGGCCTCTGCTCACCCCCTCTTTTTTCTCTTCTCCCCTTCCCAAAATCATTCATTGATTAATTCCTTTCCCCAAATTCTCACACTCCCAAAGAAACCAATGTCTAGCCAACGTTACTTTTCAACTCTTCATAAACCATAATCAATTCTTCATAAATCATAATAAACGTCTAACGTCTTTAATCAATCCTTCCCCCTTATATACTCGGCCAATTTTTAGGTGAAGCAAAGCACCCCCCTCTTTTTCATTCAGCCGACGAAATAATCCCCTCCTTGCTGAAGCAGCAGAAGAAATCAATCCAGCAATCCCTTATTATGACTTCCGACTGATTTGGTGGATTGTGGTTCCGACTGATAAGTTATTCCTATTGTAATCATTTTCTGAACGTATTTATTTATTATTTAAATAAATTTTATTTATAATAAATTTATGGAGAAAAAATTTTAGAGCCACATTTTTATTTTCGAGCATGGCCTCCGAATATAACTGGATTCCTATTTAACTCCCTAACTGTTTTAAAATTTCGCCCTAAATTAACCAAACAGACTATATTATCCCCAATTCTTAAACGGTCGCCCCCAACCCATCGCCTTAATCCCTAAATTGCTCTGCTCATCGCCGACGGAAGGAAAGTCCGAGACATAAAATTCACTGGCGCCTGACGAATCTCGCGCGGCTGTTCTACGGAAACCTTCGTCGGCGTGTTGTCGTTCTTCCTGCCCAACCCGAACAATTATTGCAAATTGACCAGGCGGGCTGTTCCCTCTTCCTCCTCATTGTTGCTCGATTGATGGGGGCCTTCGTCAAAGTGTAGGTTAGAGGAAGCTGTCGCCAATCTCATCTTCCTCTCTAAGACCAACTTCTCATGAAGCTCCAAAGTCTCCAAGTAGTTCACCGTTCCCATCTTCGGCCCACAACTCACTACGGCATTTCATCAAGCAATGACGGGACAAGTTTCTTCTCCGGGAGCGGGAATCGAAATTGTGGCAAACTAATAAAAAATCAGAAAGTTTGACTGATTTTTCATATTTCCGGAATCGGCAACATCGACAGGGCGGACCGAGCAGAGGAGCAGCTGCCACGAGGATTTCCAGGCAAACGGCGGCGACTGACGAGGACTTTCAGGATAAACAGCGGTGACATGTGAGCACTTGTTCGCCGGCGATGCGGATCCTAGGGAGAAGGCTGACGTTTAGGGCGAGTTCTCTCATTTTGGGAATTGCTCTTTTTTTTTTTTTTTGAAATTTGGTTTAGAGATTAAGAATATTTTAGGGGTAAAAATGTCAACTTATTTAAGTTACGACAATAAATTTAAAAACTTAGGGCGTTAATTAGTACCTCTCGAATATAATGGGTCGGCCCTGAATATACTAATAGGCCCCCTCAAACTGGGGCGTGGATGTCTACGACTCCTAGTTTGGAAACCAATGCTTCAAACGTAACATGCGGCACAACCTTGGTGATAACATCCATTGTCCGGCTTATTGAAGAAAATGAAGCAGCTTGGTAACACATGCAAGTATCTATTCGCGAGCATCATGAAAATATCTTTCTATATGTTTAGTGCGCTCATCATCAAAGATTTGGTTGTCAACTATCCATTTTGCAAGCTTATAACATGCATGTTCGGCTAAGAATATATAAGTATATGACTATAGATGATCCCAAAGACTTGTTCAAACTAGAGCTTGGTTAATTAATTAGATTTAGCAGTTCATGAAGACATATTTACAAGTTAGAACTAAGAATAATTAACAACCTAAGAGGGGAAGGATCGATTTCGCCTTTAGCCAACATAATCGATAATGACTTGGATGAGATTAAATGATAGATCAAATAGGTCTTCTATATAAAGGAATGGAGATTGTACAATTCAATAAGCAACCTAGAAACAATTCAAGAATAAGGAAGTTATGATAGCACATGATTAATTGTGGGCTTCTATGAACCATAATCGATGGTGTATAGCATTGATGATCTAGCAATCAAGCATTGATACTACTCGAGGTACAAATGGTTGATCTTTCCCACTATACTCGTGTAGCATCAATGAGGTATGACTAGAGAGTAATTTCTTATCAATCTAGGAAATACTAAGCACAATGCATATAGTAGCATACTATAGAATCTTAAGCATCGATAATAAAGAAGCATTCATACTAGATAAACAACAATGATCATCATATAGTCATTGAAACATAGGCATCCATGCATAGATAATGAGTATCGAAATTCATACAGATAAACACAAGCATGATATGAAATCATAACATTCATTACCATAAAGATAAACGAGTTCACTTCTTCATACAATCAATTTAGAACTAGCTACATAGAAGAGGAGGGTACCTCCATCGATGATGACTACATCTTCTAAGCTGCAGACTCTCCTATGAAAGCTAAGCTCTTACTCGAGTAGAGTACAATGGTTTTGTGTGTTTGTGGAGTCTTATTAAACTAATGAGCAATAGCCTCTATTTATGGGGAAAGAACCATGCTAAAAGTATTCTAAGCTGAGTGAGAAAGGGTCCTACTCCTTGTGGGCTAAGTAAAATTCTTGCACAAGGTTAGGGTTTAGTGACAGTAGGGCAGTGGTTTCGACCGTCGCTCTTTTTCTTTGTGGTTGGGATCCTTGAACCTTGGACGATCCTCCCTTTAAGTTTGGACACTTCTTGACCAAGCCTTCTCCAGTGGTGGTTGGACTCGATGCTGGGCTGCCCCAAGTTTCTTCATGAGCTTGGGATGATTCTTCTTCCTATGAGCTTTTCTTGAGATTATTAAGGAACTTCTAGTTGACTTCTCCGTCATTGAACCTCATCTTTCTAAAAAAAAAACTCCATATTCTTCTCTTTATAGCTCCATTGGTCCTCCAGAGTTATCCAATGCTTGACCCAATCTTCCTTATGTTGTTTTGTACCTTCAAAATCAACAAAAACATATAGAGAAGGAATCAAAGAATACAATAACATAACCCAGGTCTATTCAAATAATTATGATTTAGATAGGAAATACTATTGAAATGACTAAAGATTCCTTTATAGAAGGGGAAAATGTATCAACAATGGCAGTGACAAACACTATAAATAAAGTGTCATCAGATATACCCCCACCTTGATTTTTTCTTGTCCCCCAAACAAACATTATTCATAACCATACAACTCAATGAATTGTAACGTGCCGAAGCTTTTCCCGAGCAAGATATTGTCTGCTTTGGCCCTCGACACTCACTGTTTTTGACTTGGGGTGAGATTCAAGGTGACTTCCCATTATATCACTCATCCTTGTTGTACCACACTGAGCACGTTTAACTTCAGAGTTCTCACAAGAACTCTTCCATTTCACCTCAAAACGCGTCTTGTCAGTTAATGTCGGTTTCTTACTTATAAACCATGAATCTCTCTCCTACTTTGTCGATGTGGAGTTTGCCTAAGGTATTACAAATATCATTTTGTAGAGCATGAAAAAATCTGATTTTTGTGCAAATTTTCTGAAATCTTATGTAAAATGAATGCATTATGCCCCGTTAAATTTTCGTTGGAGATTTGAAAAAAGCTTTAATAGCCACCTGAAAATTTGCGGCAATCTAAGAATAGAGAAGAGAATAGGGATCACATAGTAGACATTGCACCTAGCCGCACATAAACATGCATGGTTAACCTTATTTTCCACCAACACATACCCCTCCGCAATAATGGCCATCAGATCTACAGCCCCTATTGCCCCACATTATACCAATACTATCTCCCCTCCTCCATATTTCATGAAAATTTAAAATAATATGATGCTAAAACTCTTAAACTTCACCTTTCCAATTCGATCAATACATAGATGCAACCTTTTATCTATAATTTCCCTAAGAATGTAAAATTGTGTTATCTTTCTCATTTTATTTTATTTGATTCATTTATGATATATAATATAAGTTCGACGTGTTAACTTTAAAATTGCACGTGACTTCAATTCAATTACATTAGTTTTAACTTGAATTTGGTTGGAATTTACGAGTATTGTCCACGAGTATCAAAACCAGGACATGGATGAGGATAAGAAAACTTCGAGTCCGGATCTCATGACTAAGGGGGTGCTTAGTCACTTGACTAAGCCCCTCCCATCCTTTAGATCTGGACACACCAATCTGACGGTTAAAAAGTGGGAAAGACTTTTTAATTAATGACAGGGGTAGTTTGGGTATTATGAAAAATTACAAAGTATACAAACCGGACTTACAAACAATACAAACATACAAACATTACAAACTATGAGAACAAAACATAAGCAGATTTACAAACAATACAAAACATACGAACTATACAAACAATACAAACTAGACCGACAAACAATACAAACCATACAAAATGAAAAAAAACCGGGTTGACTTTGGAGACTTCATCCCTATATAGAGGGTTTCGTCCCAAAGTTAAACTAGTTTGTTTTTTGACATACAAACATTACAAATATGGTGGGGGAAAATGTCAAACTAGACCGACAAACCATACAAAATGGAAAAACACCCGAGTTGACTTTGGAGGCTTCATCTCTATATAGAAGAGTTTCATCCAAAAGTCAATCAAGTTGTTTTTTCGACATAAAAAACATTACAAACATGGATGACAAAAATGACAAACATGGTGGTTAATAATAACAAAGTTAACAAACATTACAAAAGTAACCGAAAAACATTACAAAATAACAAAGCTTACAAACATTACAAAAGACACAGACAAATAGTACAAAGCATACTAACCGTACAAAATAGTCATAAACATTACAAATATAATAGACAAAAATGCCAAACAATACAAACCGAGTTGTCTGTAAACATTACAAATCAGACTTACAAATATTACAAAATAGAACGACAAACATTGCAAAACTACCACTATCGTCGGAAAAATCTCGTCGCGGTCCAAAATTCTCACCGGCGCCACAAAATCTCTATCTCTCTCTCTCTCTCTCTCTCTTTGCGCGCGAAAGTGTGGAAGTTGGCCAAAAAAATGCTTGGGAATGGAATCGTGGGGGGAAATTTTGACGGTAAAAGCGCCGGCGGAAAGCAAAAGCGTTTGACGGGAACAGAATCGAGCCGGAAATTTCCCCGCAAGCAAAAGGTACGTGTACGGGATGCAGTTTATTTATTTATTTTATTCTTGAAAATTAAAAAATAATTTTGTAATTACTATCTTGTCCTTGATTAAATTTAATTAATTATAACCATTAGATTTTAAAATGTTTGAAGGACTGACATCGACTTAGGCAAATTAACTAAGAGACTCCTCTTGGTCACCTTATCTTAGGCCGAAAACTTCCGCCAATTGACGCCTCGTTGCTATCCAAATAAAAGAGCTTTGTCACACTCTCGTTATCTCATTGTGTGGACCCGGCTAGCCAACATCATTCCGAAAAATTAGGCTCTCATTGTTTATTCCAAACTACAATCGGTCCTTCTCAATCTCAACTATGAAATTAAAGAACCATATATTCCAAACCATGCATCTGCAGGCCGTAATATTTATAATCTGTTTTGGTTGATCCTTTTGTCTAATAAATACATCACCACCATTGATCCCCAATCAACAACTTCTTCACCCATCCCTCCAAAGTCCAAACTCTCTGCAACTCTGTTTCTCGTCACCCAAGCTCCCTCACCCCCAACAAAATAATGGAGACAGCACAAAGTTCAAACTCTCCGAATTCATCACCATCATCGTCCGCCTCCTCCGTTGCCCTGATCGTAGGCGCAACAGGGATGGTAGGACTGAGCCTGGCAGAAGCACTGAACAACCCGTCAACTGCCGGCGCGCCATGGAAAGTCTACGGCGTGGCTCGCCGTCCATTACCCACCTGGTTCCCGCCTTCCCTCCTCCACAAGTTCATCACTCTCGATGCCCTGAATCGAGATGAAACGATCGAAAAACTCTCCCCTGTTGCCCACGAAGTCACCCACGTCTTCTGGGTAGCGTTCCAGCTCCGTGAAATCGAAGAGGTCAACATCTCCCTCAACTCCACCATGCTCTCCAATGTCGTCGCCGCCCTCAGCTCCGCTGGGGCGAATTCCCGGCTAAGGCATGTGACTTTGCAAACAGGTAACATGGTAGATAGCAATTCTGAAACAGGGCTTTATATATAGTATGGTAGGAAATGTTGGACACCGAGGTACACAAATTATGACACAAAATTGCGTTTGACTTTTGGTTAATTAGGGACGAAACAGTATATGGGTCCGATCTACGACCCAGAGCACGGGTCGCGGCTGGTTATGCACGAACCGCCTTTTCAAGAAGGGATGCCCAGGTTGCCGTATCCCAATTTCTACTACGCACTGGAAGATCTCTTGGCGAGCGATTTGCCGGTGGGAGTTACTTACTCTGTGCATCGGTCGTCGATTATCATGGGCGCCACGCCTAGAAGCATCCACAATGGGCTGCTGACGCTGGCGGTTTACGCCACCATTTGCCGCTACAAAGGGCTCCCCTTCAGGTAATTAAAGTGGCTGCAATCAAAAAATCTGAGCCAGAGTCAAAACAGAGTGTTTCAGAAACAGAGTCTCGTTTCCGATTTTCACATGAAGGGTTGAGAAGAAACGTCTTTAATTTATTCAGGTACCCAGGGAATAAGTACACATGGGAACATTTTTGTGACATGTCTGATTCAAGGTTGCTAGCAGAGCAGCAGATATGGGCAGGGACGACGGAGGGAGCCAAGAACCAGGCGTTCAACTGCTCGAATGGAGACTTCTTCACGTGGAAGGGGCTGTGGAAGGTATTGTGCGAGCTGTTCGATGTGGATTTCGTGGATTTGGATGATTCGGAGAAGTTTGATGCGATGGAGATGATGTCCGGGATGGGAGATGTGTGGGATGAGATCGTGGACAAGCAGGGGCTGTACAAGACCAAGTTGGAGGAAGTGAATTGCTTCGATGCGATGACGGTGGTGACCAATTTCAAGTTCCAGCATGTTTGTAGCATGAACAAGAGCCGTGAGTTTGGGTTTGTGAGCTTTTATGATACGTTTAAGAGCGTTCGTTATTGGGTTGGGAAGATGAGGGAGATGAAGATCATACCTTGATCGAGGCTACATGGCAGCGGCATGCTCTGTTTCAATTAAACTTGCTCTCCTCTTTTGTATTTATGATTCTTGTGTTCGTGTGATATGTGGGATCAGCGCTTTGATTCAGCATGAATCGAAGAGAGCCCTATTTGTTAGTATTTGGGGTCATTAACATACAAGATCTTAATTGTTTGGAATGCACCTTTATTGGGAGTCAATTCTTATGTAATGTGGAATTTGAAAACAAATACTATGTTTGGTTGGAAAATAAATTCTAATAATTGGAGTGTGTTATTTTTCAAATGTTAAAAGGAGGGTTATTGTTTGTAAAATATCATGGTGTTGTGTCTTTTATCCTCACTAGAAGTTTTTGTGCGTTTGCACTTCGCGACGAGTGATGTATTACACTCTAAATGTGTTATATGAAAAAATTAGTAAAATGTAACTCATAAAACATAAATAAAAAACAACAACAAAAGCAAAAAGATCTAGTGGGAGGCCTCCATAAGAATTTGCACTTGTTGGCAAATGAGGTTATGGAATAGAAGATGATGATTTACATATTTGGAACTCGACAACTATTAATAAGAGAATTTATGAAGTTTGTACGTTTGAAATGGGGAAAACAAAGAAATAACTTATTATGTGAATGTTTCTTTCTGCCCAATAAACAAAAAGACAAACTCGGGATTTACCATGTACTCACAACCAAATTCCAAAAGAGAAAATAAATAGAATATAAAAAAGCCAGTGAAGGAAGATAAAAATAAATGAATGAACGATAGCATTTGGTTTCATTGATTTGGAAGCCATTGTCGTCATCTTCAATGGGGGAATGATAATTTTCTTTGTTGTCTTCTTACTCGAATTCGGGCGAATAGATGTACAAGGAGGCAAAACCAAATGGTAATAATAAGGCCCCAATATGCACCCAAAAAACATGAGCTGCACAAAAAAAAGGCTCCACTAAAATAAGAGGGGAGATGTTGTTTACACTTTTCTTCTTATTCTGCATTTTCTTTCCTTTTTAACACTATGAAGAGAGAACAGAGGGATGATTAGCTGGGCAACAAAAATGCTTATCTCTAGGGTTGCAAACGAGCCGAGTCCAATCAAATTTTTTCTTAATTTGAGCTCGACTCGTTTATAATTTTTCCAGCTCTAGCTCGACTCAAACTCGAATTTTGATAATCCAGCTCGAGCTCGAGCTCGACAGGATTAAAAATATTCCAGCTCGAGCTCGACTCGGTAGAGCTTTGTAAATGCTCCTTAAGACAACTTGTCAAGTTGAGTACAAGCTCAGCTCAAGATATGCTCGATTGGAAATAATTCTTGCTTAAATGTGTACACATAAGAATTTAAATGATAAAAATAACTCTAGAAACTATAAATAACAACTAACTTCCGTATACATCCGTATTAACAAGATAATGTTCATGTTCAGAAGAGTAATTAATCATTCCATAGGCTCTAAACAAGCCAGCTCGCGAGCTTAGCTCAACAAGCCACCAAGTCAAGCTGGCTTACGAGCTTATCAAGGTGAGCATTGTCTAGCTCAAGCTTGGCTCGCTTACTAACAAGTTGACTTGCGAACCAGCTTGTTAAATAACGAACCGAGGGTCGAACGTGGTTTTCCCCGATTCGAACGTCGAGTTGCTCGCGAGCGGCTCATTTTCAACCCTGTTATCCCATATCCTCTCTACTTCTCTTTTTTTTTTCCTACCACAACAACATTGAGATAATTTCGGAGATTTTTCCAGAAATAGCACCTTTAAAAAAATTACAAAAATAACACCCATTCCGTAGAAATTACAAAAATAGCACATTTTTTTTAAATACCGCACCCCCTGGTGCGTTTTGCATGTAAACCGCACCCCCTGGTGGGTTTTGTATTTAAACCGCACCCCCAAGGTGCAGTTTAGCTTTCTGGGCCAAAACCGCATCTTGGCCATGCGGCTTGCGATCTGACCTAACCAAACTGCGTGGCCCAGATGCGGTTGATAGACCATTGATTACACATGTTTTTACCCCTATCCTTGAGCTGTTTGAAATGTCGATTCTAGCGTTTTAGGCCGATTTCACGCTAGGTTGTTCTTGTTTGTGATATTTCAGGTCCTAGTACGTGAATGAAGGTTTAGGAACGAGTTCGGGGTCGATTGGACGAAGTTTGGACGTTTGGCGAGAAGCTGAGAAGCCACACGGGCATGCCTAAAAGCCACACGGCCGTGTAGGGGACCCCTGATGGTCGCGTGGAAATTCCAGGGAACTCACACGGGCACCCTGGGAAGCCACACGGCCGTGTGGGTCGTGGCCATGTAGGAAGCCTGAAGCCACTTATCAAAAAGCTGCGGTTTGCACAACTCACACGGGCAGCTGGGGATGTCACACGGCCGTGTGAGTCGGGATTTTCTGGTTTTAAGCCAATTTTCAGCAGAGGAGAAGGGAGTTTCGAGTTTTAGAGAAAGAAAGTGATTCATAGAGAGAGAGAGAACGACGAACCAGAGTTCCCAAGTGCCCTACCTTGATCTTCATCACCATTGGAGCTCGGCTTACACTTGGAGAAGTACCGATTGGCGACCAGGAGCAGATTCTCATCCTTCACAGCATGATTTCTGCATCTGAACCTACTTTTGCTTCTCTCTCCATGGAGTAGTTTTCCCATTCATTTGGGTATGGAGAACCCTAGATTTGTGTGTTAGGACTGATTGTATGAACCCAAGTACAGATTCTATGATCTGATTATATTCAATTGAGGCTTGAATGATTGAATGACTTGAATCCTGATCAAATTTCTGTTATTTCTGCTTTAGCCTAGAAAGAGAATATCTGCCGAGGTTGATAGAGCACCCTTAATTGAAGGTAGTGAATTGTCGACTTTAGTCGAGGAGCCAATTCACTATTCTGTACCGAATTTACTTCGGTAGTGGAGGTTTGGTTCGTTAGGGCCTCAATTTGTTTACTCCGGTGGAGGTTAGTCGCCCGCTAGGGACTCAGATCGAGAGGGTCTGGAGACCTTTAGTCAAGACTTCAGACTGTTTAAGAACCTCCCGCAGTATAACTATCATTAAAACTGAACTTGGTAAATTGCAATCCGCCTTGACTGCAGTCTAGGGGGAACCATATCCGGGTGACCTCTCTCGACTTGAAACAACCGTTTAATTGCTTTGCTTGTTTTGCTTGTTTGAACCTGCACTATCGTTTCACTGCTAGATAATAGGAATTCACTGAGTAGCCATCACATCTAGGACCCGGGTTGACAATAAAACCCAAACACGCTATACTACGCTCTAGGAAGTAGTTACACTTTGGGGATGCGGTCTAGTCCTGACCTAGCAAAACTGCACTTTGGGGATGCGGTTTTGCTTCTCCTAAACAAACCGCACCCTCAAAGTGCGGTTTTGGCAACACAAACCGCACCCCCCACCCCATGTGGTTTGTGTGTCAATTATTTTCCGACACCAGACATGCAGCCATGCATATTATGTTGAATTGTGATTATTTTCCCTTTTCAATTTTCTATTGTAGCTCCCTATTTCTCTAGTGTTTTTGCGGTTAACGTTAACTTGTAAGTTTATTTTGTATTACTTTTTATTTTGAATTGTGATTTTATGATATTAGTTGAACTACTGTATTTTTGCAAATGGCATTCCAAAAATTCACGCTTGGATTACGGTGGAATGGTTACACGGAAGAGAGCGGAAAGGGGGTCACCTACGTCGGTGGCAATGTTCAGAAAATAAAGGTCGCTACCAGACCGATGCTTGAAGACCTCTATCAAATGTGTACTAACGTTGCTTGCATGGATGGCACGAGAAGGTGGGTCGTTGTGGCACGAGGAATATCTCATAACCACTCAGGATGAGGTAGATGTCATGCTCGAAATTAATAACGAGATACATACATATTCAAACATTTGAAATTTATAAAATTCATTTAAGTACACATAAACACAAATTGTATTGGTTGTTTGGTAAGTAATTTAATCGTATTGGTTGTTTCAAATAATTTAATCGAATACAATGCAACACTCGTTAGACTCTTAGAAGAGGTATACATCTTCTTAGAAACGTAGCCTTTTTGACAGAAAAATGGGGGATTCGAGGATCTCTTAATACCCGATTTTCCCAGGAAATGGGAGGATCATGATAATCGCTTAAAACCCAATTTCCTTAGACGTGCATCTCTTTATAAAGAGTGGAAGTAAGTGGCACTATGTATTCTATTAAATTATTGAAAACAACTAATACGATTAAATTATTTCAAATTTATTTTATATTCCACTAAGTACATTAGCAAAATAAAAGAAGGATAAATGATGACGAATTGTATGTACCGGGTGATCGTTCCAAACATCCCTTGAACGATGGTTGGGTTGGTCGTACAAGTCGGTTGGATCAATAGGCCCTTGATCCAAATAGTACCGTTGGTTGTATATATTCACGTCGTCCCCAACCTACGAGAGAATAACAACAAGGTTAGTACATAGATTAATTATAAAGCTTATAACAAAAACTAACCAAAATAATGAGTACGTACCGGTTGAAATTCATCATAATAAACTCCCTCTCCTTGGAACCACTCATCCATTTTTTCGCGAAAGTCGGACAAAAATTTGGCATGTTTTTAGGGAAAAACCAAAGAAATGTTTTCTGATGGCAGATCGGACTTAGCCGCAACCAACAGACCACTATTTCCTAGGCTTTAGGGAGGGGAGGGGTTAGAGAGATAATTCTAGAGAGAGAGTGAAGAATGGTTGTGGTGTGAAGAAATGAGAGGGGGGAGGGGGTATTTATACCCTTCAGAACGCACCCTCCAAGGGCGGTCTGGTAATTTAGCCCAGCCAGAAACCGCGCCCTCCCGATGCGGTCTGCATTGATCGTGGCGCTGACCGCACCTGCCAGTTGTGGTCTTCGATCCGTGGCAAGGATCGCTGAGGTGGCAAGCGGTCCACCGCTGGATCGCTGCCTTATCCTGCGGTCTCCAAGCCCGCTCCCGAGGAAACACAGAACGCACATTCCTGGTGCGGTTTCCAGTCTGACGTGGCGCAAAACGCACCTCCAAGGTGCGGTTAGATAAAGATGGTGCTATTTTTTGTAAATTTTGTAGGCTGGATGCTATTTTTGTAATTTTTTTAATAAATGCTATTATTGGAAAAATCCCATAATTTCGTGGGCTCACCCTAATGGATTAATTACAAAAGAATCGTTTAATAATAATAACATTAAAGCTGTTTTTTATATAAAAATTTTATCCTTCCTATTTTTATATAAACTCAAAAATATCATCTATTTTTTTCCTAATTTTGCGAAAGTCTTTCTCCCCTCGTATCTCGCCGAATTAATCTCCTCCTTTTTGTGTTCGTCGTTGTCTGTTCTTCCATGAATTATAGTGAGTCTAACATGCTATGATTCTTATATACTTTCTAAACTGTTAGTTGGTGACCTGTCTGGTTAATAACTTCATTCATTGTCAACATCTTCACGCCTCTTTTATTGTCCATATCACCGAAGACGACTTTGGAGAATACATCAACCTCAAGTCTATATTTTCACAAGGGTGGAAAAGAAAAGAGTTTATTTTTATTTCTTTGATAAGAGAATAGTAAATGAGTATTTAAGAAATTTGGACTGAGATTATCATAACCACAATATCACACTTTCTAACTCTATCGAAATTTCAAATTTGATAAAATAACATATGTTAGATGTTTGTGGCTTGTGCATGTCCTTAAATACCACATTTACGTAATAAGCATTTCAAACTACCACAACTGAAAGCCCAAATAAGTTAGGAAGGCTTAGGTCTTCGTCATCTTGTGTACTTGAGCCAACTTGACACTTGGGAGCAAGGCTAGTATATAGGCTACTCCTAATTTATTTTTATTTTTACAAGAAGGGGCATATATTGCTTCATTACCCATGGAAGAGGAACACAAAAGAAGAGGGGAAAATGAAGGTTGTAGAACAATGGGCCGAACTACGATAATGAAAGGAGATTTGAAGCTCATCAAAATTAAGCCCAAAATAATAAAGCCCACACAAACCCTACTGCTTTTTAAGGGAAATCTCTTCTTTTATTAATTAGTAGGTGAGGAACCTACAGAAACATCATTCCTCAAACAAGAGATTAAATATACTGGAGGCCTATCTACCCAAACTCCATCTTCTTCCTAGCCACATTCTATATGGGTCATACTATGAGCTGGCTCGTTGAACTGACGGCCACAAAAGACCAAGAAACTTGTCCCCAGGGTCGAACTCTGTTCTTCTCTCTGTAACTCAGCTCCAACTCTATCCTCCTCTCTCTACTTAATATCTTTCCACCACCTGGCACTCCATCTGAAACTCACTAGGGAGGAAATGGAATTGATCTGCTAGCTCCACCCCATATGCCACTGCCAAGGCCTCTGCAATATCTGATTGCCACTGCCAACGAGTTCTTTTGACTATGGCCAAGCAGAATCAACCTGCTCCATCTCTAATAACCACCCCGAAGCCAGTCCTGCGGCCCGTCAACCATGTCGCGTCGACGTTGATGGTGTATACAACGCTCTGAGATGTTGTCCACCCCTTCTTGTCTTCTCTTTAGGTATGTTCCTTCTTCAATTGAGCATACAGGTATTCTTCAATCCATCGATCCGCTCTACCCATTATCTCTCATTCCTCCAATTTGTGTTTGTTCCAAAGCTGACAATTTCTCTAATCCCAGATGAACCAGAGCGAGACCAAGAAGCGTCTGATTTGCTCATTGCTCTCCTCTTCTTGCAATTCACAGATCCATTCATCCGAGGTAAGGTTCTCTCCCTTAGTGAACATGTGGTTGATAGGGCCCGATCTCCAAACTCTCCTTACCCATCCACAGTCCCTAAAAATGTGTTCTTGAGTTTTCTTAAGATCACAAAACGGACAGCCCTCGCTTCCCTTCTGCGTACGTTCCAGAATTCGTGCTCCCGTACGCAAAATATTTTGAATCCATCTTCAGGTGAAGAGCTTCACTTTGTAGGGAATATTGAGCTTCCAGATCCTGTTTCAGTCAACCGGAGAATAAAATTCTCTCCAATCCTCTGCCTCTCTATTCATCCACAATCTATAGGCCGATTTAACTGTGTACTCTCCTGTTTTCTCCATACTCCACTCTCTCTCATATCTCATAGAATTCTTATGAAAAGGGATCTTGAGTATATTGACCCGGTCTTCTGGTAGGAAATATGCTTGCAAGAAATCCATTCTCCACGAAAAAACCTCATAGTCAATTAGTTCTGTCACAGAGGTTGTTTCCCCTATGATGGTTACAGGTGGTTTTCGCTTAAAACCCTCAGCCTTTGGAATCCACTTGTCCAACCAAATGTGAACACTACATCCATCCCCCACTTTCCACCGCCTCCCTTTTTCACTAGTTCCTTCGCTGACAATAATCCTCACCAGATGAAACTCGGGTTATAGCCAATATCAGCCTCCAATACTTCACTATTGGGGTAGTACTTAGCCTTCAGGATTATGGCTGCTAGGGATCGTGGTCTAGTAATCAGCCTCCATAATTGCACAAATCCTACTGTTAAATGTGAACCATCACTCATAAAGACCAGCCGCCGCCTTCTACCATCTCCACTGTCATCCTGTCATCTCCAAAATAGCCAGAAGATGACCAAACACCTCCGAGGAGAAGATTCACAGAGTGAAGCCTCCAAAATTCATAGCACATTACGTGCAAAGACAACACGAGAGATAAAGCCTAGGACCGACCAGTAAATATTATAGTTGTTTGTCTTATCATAATGGTAAGATTATGATATGACAGTGATAAGATCACAACAAATACATATTTTTGAAGGATCAATTTTTTTCACAAAACATAACAAAATGAATAATATTATGTAGATAATAATTAATTATTTCTTTCTATATAATTTTTTAATTTAAGTTATAATGAATGAAATATGTCATTATACCAGTGTAATATCATGATGATATGAAAGTGATAATACTACAACCAACAAGAGTTTTAAAGTGCAAATTTTTGTTTTGCTTGAAACATACAAAAATGGATATCATTGTGTATATCATAATTAATGTGTTCTTTTTATGCAATTTTTTTCAATTCTGAATCCAAACGAACAAGAATATTGGATTAAGAAAAATGAGATTAGAAAGCATATTATTCGACTAATCACAAATCTTTGCTCTCTCCTTTGAATTCCACGTTAGTAAAATAATGCATAAATTACCATTCTATCCCTCTTTGTCTCTTAGGAGTCGTTTGCTTGTTAGATTTTAGAATGAAGTTTTTTAACTTTTAAAACCTTAAAATTTGAGATGGATTTGTTGCATTACGGATTTGAAAGAGTCCATCGTTTGTGTTGATGATTTTTTTATCATGGATTTTAGAGTTTTGTACCAAGGTCCCCACATATTTGCCTTCCATCAACAAAATCCCAAAAAAAGGTGGGATTTATAAATTCGTGTGGTCCACGGATTTGGATATAAAAACTGTCCAAATCTGTAAGCCGCGTGGATTTGGACACCAATTTTTTTATACAACGTAACAAACAATGAAATTGGCTAAATCCTTCATGCTTGGGATTAGGGTGGCAAATCCATCACCCAAATCCAACAATTAGTTTTGGGTCATTAGATGACATTTTGATAAACGATTCCATATTTGAGTCTTGTAGGATTTTGTAGAATAACAAATATTTGTAATATCTTACTGTAGTTGTTGTATCGATAAGCGATTTTCAATTGTATAAAGTGATTAAACAACGATTTCAACATAAATTATAATATCACTTAATTTTCCAATATAATGTCTAGTAAGGTTTTACAATCTTATTAGTAAAACCCGTGGGTGGGCATATTATTCAAACTCAGAATTCAAAGGAGACAATAATTACTTATCAACCATAAAAATTAGGGAAAATACACTTTCATTGCCATAACTTTTGCGTTTGTAATAATAATAACAACTTTTGAAAAAGTACCAGATATAGCCACTTCCGTCTAATACTTTAATGGTGTCATCTAACAGGTTGACTGGACTAACTGCACGGTTGACGTGGCATATTTTATTAAAAAATAATGTCAAGTGAAAAATCATTAAAGTCTTATCCTTTAATTTAAATTAAATTAAATAACAATTATAAAATATGATACAATGATCTTTGTCCGCCTGTTCACCTTCCCATCTTTCGACATCGTCGCCGCATCATGTTCTTTCCTTCTCTCTGACAACCCTAAAAAAGACTCATTTCTTCTTCTCATACCCTATGTTCTTAAAGGAAGGAAAGAGGAGGGGGGAGAAGGAAGGAAAGTGAGATTTTCTTTTTTTAGTAGAAAGGAAAGTGAGATTTTCAAGAATGTTTCCTCTATTCCCGAAGCTAGCAACAATGAGCAGGGATAGAAAATAGGAGAAAACATCTCATGTTCAACTCCACCCTCCGAATTGGAAGGAAAACTTCTTTCTCCCAGCGCTCTCTTTCTTTCTTTCTTTTCCCTTTCCCCGTTTGTCATTTCTCTTTCCTTGTTTAATGATAATAAATAAATATTAGTAAGTTGTTTATAATAAAATTAATTCCTTTCTCTTTCTTTAAATTAAATTAAAGGTTTTCATAATTATCACTAACGGAAGCCGTAAGTGATCAACGTTGTTTATTTTTTTATTTAAAAATTGATGTTTATAGTTAAACATAATTAGGAACAGATAATTACAAATAGTAGTTATAGGAAAAGATAATCTTTTTTTTACAAGATAATCATATATTGATTCAACAAGGGAAGATAGTTACACCCTGGAATGCAGCTAGGCCTGAAAATTAAAAGAGTGACACGTAGACGGGTACAAAGTAAGGGCCTTTCTAGCCACCGTATGGGCTACCCTATTGCTATCCCGACCTACAAATCGTAAACTAAACCCCGAGTGAGTCTCAAAACACTACACAATTTCTTCCAGAATAACCTCAATCCTACTATCTCTGGTATCCGCATGATTGATCTTGTCGATGATGACCTTGGCGTCGCCTTCAAATGTTACATCCTGGAAGCCATAGTTTACACACCAGAATAGAGCTTCCCGGAGGGCAAGTGATTCCACCACCAGAGGATCATCAATAGATTGAAACTGAATCCCCTGAGCTAGTAGGATTTCCCTATTAGGGCCAAGAAGAACCATCCCACCCGCCGAGTGAGACCTAGCACTCGTAGCCCCATCCCACATACAAACAATCGAAGGAGCCTCAGCCAGCCCTGTTGGATTGAAAATAGGAGTCAGACTTAGAGGGGCACAATCGACGGGCACACGCTCTCATTCCTGACATTGCTGGTGATATTGGCGCATCAAGGCAGGGAATCCAAATTGCTTGCCTTCAAAGACAACCCAATTTCGGGACTTCCAAATTCGCCGAAGTACTACCACCACCGAGAGGACAACAGAGGGCTGATGAATTATGGTGAACAGCCTCTTGAGGAAGAGAGGAAATGTTTGTCGGGGCAACCTTTGTCCAAGATGTTCCAACCCCGAGTAGTCCCACAGAGCCTGTGCCACTGGACAGTCAAGAAACAAATGTTCCATAGTTTTCAATTCCCCCCAACATACCGGGCAACGAGGGAGAACAGAGACTCGTTTATCAATAAGGGCTTTTGTAGTAGGGAGGATACGATGAAAAATCTGCCAGACAAACACCTTCAACTTAGTAGGTATATTGGCCTCCCAGAGCCGAATCCAACTGGCTCTATCCATCCAGCTAGCCATAGACCTCCAGCAACCATTCCTTTTATCCAGATCGACAGCTAAATGGTAGGCCGACTTAACAGTGAACACTCCATCGGTCGTGCCATGCCAAATAAGTCTATCCTCCACATTATTCCTCAGAAGAGGAATAGTTTTGATTCTACGGCTGGTAGGAGGATCAAAACATTGTCTCGCTTTGGTCTCACACCAACCTCCCCCATTCTGATCGATAACCTCCACAACCAGCGGATCACCACCCACAGGAAGCACCTGGGGGTTAAACACCGGAAGGTCAGGATTCAGTCGAGGAATCCAGTTGGAAAAAAGCAGAGATGTCGTCTGTCTGTTACCAATTTTCCATCAAATGCCCTTTTCTAGCAACTGCCTCCCATACAGAACACTTTGCCACCCCCAGGAAGGACGCGAACGTGCTTTGGCCTGGAGAAAGGTCCCATTCGGGGAATATTTACCTTTATATACTTGAGCCAGAAGGGATTGGGGCTCATTGAGGATTCGCCATCCAATTTTAGCCAGCAAAGCCTGATTAAAATGTTCGAAATGACGGAAACCCATACCCCCATCATGCTTACTTCTGCACATATTATGCTAGGAAATCTAGCGGACTTGTGACTGATCAATAGTCACACCCCACCAAAATCGAACTACGTGCTTATCCAGCAGCCTACAAAGGGACAACGGCATCTTGAAGCAAGACATTACATGCAGCGGCAATGCTAAAGCAATGGATTTAATCAATGTTTCCTTAGCCGCCCAAGATAATGTATGTTGCTTCCACCCATGTAATTTCTCAAGCAATTTCTCCTCAAGATAGCGAAAGGTAGCCATTTTCAAATGGGCAATCAGAGTCGGCAGTACCATGTATTTATCATGGACCCCCACTGCTCCCACTCCCAGTATCGCAGCCAGAAACTCCTGGTCTTCTCGAGCTACATTTTTACTAAAACAAACAGCCGACTTCGCGAAATTCACATGTTGTCCACTCAACTCCTCATATTTGTCTAATACGTCAATCAGATTCTCACATTCCTGGAGATTTCCTCGCATGAATAAATAAGAATCATCCGCAAAGAACAAATGAGAAGTACGAGGAGCGCGGGGAGCTACTTTTACACCTTCCAGTCTCCCGTCCGTTATTGTCTTGCGAAGAATAGCAGTGAAGCCTTCCGTACAGAGCACAAACAGAAGAGGCGAAAGAGGGTCACCTTGTCGGAGTCCTCGGGAAGGCGAGAAATACCCCGAGGGGGTGCCATTCATGAGAACTGAGAATGAGGTTGATTGGAGGCATTCATGTATCCATCCTCGCCATACGGAGTTAAAGCCCATTTTTTCCAAAACCGCTAGCAGAAAAGGCCATTCGACTCTATCATAGGCCTTCTCCATGTCAACCTTTAGAGCCATGTACCCTTTCTTACCACGTGTTTTGATCTTCAAATAGTGCATCAACTCGTGACCCACAAGAATATTTTCGATAATTTGCCTCTCTCGAATGAAGGCATTCTGTCCTTCCGAAATAATTCCCGGTAAGATCTCAGCCAGCCTAGCAGCCATGATTTTAGTAATAATTTTGTAAATAAATTGGCACAAGCTGATTGGCCGCAGTTGCCTCATAGTCTCAACATTATCCACTTAGGGTAAGCCAGGTATGATTGAAATATCGAAGCACCCTACTAGTTGCAAAAATGAGCAGACAGCTTCAATCACCGAATCCCCAACAATATCCCAAAAGGCTTTGAAGAATTTCCCCGTGAAACCATCGGAGCCAGGAGCCTGCTTGGAACACATGGAGAAAACCGTCTTTCTGATATCCTGAGGCAGAACCTCTGTCGTCAGCATATCATTCATCTCCTGGGTTACTAACTCGCTACGACACAACACCTAACAATGGCCAAGTGTAACCAATGAAAGGGACTGCAGTATAGTGGCACAAGTAATAAATATCGAATCCACGGGTCTCTAGAGTTACTATTACTCAGCTTCAGTTCATTATCTAGCAAACTAGATTAAGGATTGATTTACTAAACTACTCTACTAAGTACTCTACTAATTACAAGTTGGGAACTCACTTAGGTATGATTCCCCCTAGCTCCTCAATTAGGTCCAAGTTGCAATTACCTTTGGTTGATCTACTGTTGATTAAACTGTGGAAGATCCCAAATTAGCTTGGAATCTCTTAAGCTGACCAAGCCCTCTTAGACAGAATACCCGGCAGGCGACTAGCCTTCACCAGGATAGACTGCTAAGGCGATTCACACATATCTCCACTACTGGAATGAATTCCAATACAAAGCAGTGAATTGATTGACTCTCGCACAACCAATTCACCACTATCAATCAAGGAAGCTCTCTTAACCTAATCAGATTCTATCTATCATAGGTTAAAGCAGAAATCAAGAGAAGATGATCAGGCTTCAATTGACTCTATAGATCATGCCACAATCGATTATAATCAAACAATATAGCATCCAAAACTTCATACAAGGAAGATCCTAACACATGGAACTAGAGTTCCTCAAAACCTAAGTGAAGGGCAGTTACTCCATAGAGAAGAGAGGGACTGCAGAAATCTGATCTAGATCTTCAATCTCCATCTCCAATCTTGATTCCCGAGCTCCAATGATGAAGAAATCCTCCAAAATAGCTCCAAGAATGTTCCCAAGTCGCTCTTTCTCTCTCTCTAGGGTTCGTCCCTTGGGTGTTTGGGAACCAAAACCCAGCTCCCCCTTTCCTTTGGCTCGAATCTGCCTCAAAACCCGATTTTGGGCGAAATACGGGCAGAAATACGGTCGTAATTCTTCCATGCACGTATTTTTCTCAAAACACGCGTTTTGGTTAAGTTTCAGCCATCCAAAGCTCCTCTCGGCATTGAAAATACGGGCATGGGAGCGGAAAATACGATCGTAATTCTCCTGCACGTACTTCTTCCTCCGCTCCTGTTTAATGCTTCGTTTCTCCCTCGTTCGGACTCCGAATCAGTCGCCGTTTGATTCCAGACACTCGTAGTCTTGTCCTCTACCTTTTCATGACAAGATTCCATGATTATTTGTCCAAAATATGAGGTAGAAGTCCATTCTTCTCCAGGTCATGCTCGTGTTTCTTCTCCCGAATTGCCAAGTGATCTCCGATTGACTTGAAACTTGCGCCTATGCTTCAATTTACATGATAGGACCTGAAATGTGACAATGGAACACAACCTAGAATAAAATAGTCCAAGAAAGCAAAAACTCAAGCCAAAATGATCAAGAAACGAGGGTGCAAACATGTGCGAATATGACGTTATCAAATTCCCCCACACTTAACCGTTTGCTTGTCCCCAAGAAAACCAAGTTAGATACAAGGTAAGCTCAAAACATTTTAACCATGAAACCCTTGGGGACATATCATATAGGCACGAAACACGGGAATCATACTGTCTTTTACACATCAACACATGAACAACTTCAATAACAACCTGGACGACCACCACAGAGGACATTCGAGTGCAGCAAAATCGGGTAAAGAAAGAGTCTGCCTTCTGTTCACTAACCAACATAGATTTGACTCAACCACTTATTCAAGACAGTCAGCTCATGCATAAAACTCAAGACATCAGAATCAAGACCGAGCCATCTAGGTCCTCACCGGGGTAAAGAGTATAGATAATATGAGAAAATGAATCGCTCACTCTCGACTAGTGGGGTCAAGACAATTTTTTTTATGCAAGATGTGCATACTCATCATACTCTCAATCCCTAACGTCTCTTCACCATGAAGGCAGCCTCTAAATGCTAGAGTTCACATATGGGGTGTCACCACTAACTAATCCGGAGGTCTTAGACACAGGTTCAGATGACTGGCTAGGGTCTTGGACATGGGGAAAGGCCTTTTAGGTGGTGGAAGTATTCATAGCACAAGGTTCCACAGTTCCAAACCCAACACAATCACAACCAATCAATCCAGTACTTCCTTTCTGCCATTCTGCATTACTCAAATTCTCTAGAGCACAAGAGCGAAGGAGGTCATATAAATGTTAGCATTTCCAAGCCAGACTGCTAAGAAACACTACTTAATGGACACTATTCAGGTTTTTGGTAGTGGCTCTCTTTTGCTTTTTTTTTTCTCTCATTTTTTTTCATTTCTTAAGAGAACCACCACCTCTGCACATTTTTCAAACGCATGCCCAATTTTTAAGCACTACCTCCAACCCTCACATTATATTTAGCGACAACAGCAGAGAACATGTAAAAACCACTCTGTGGAACCTTCTAAGAGATGCAAAAGGGTGATTTTCCATTGTAGATCGAAAGAAAGGATAACACACGGCTCAAAAGGGCTGACTAAGGGGTATGACACATCAGGTTAGTCAATTTGGTCGTGGGCCAATCCTATGCCTCCATCATCTTAGCTAATGACAACGTGAATGCTACACATCATGGAAGAGGGATCTATCGCACAAGAAAGAAACGAGCAGGCTCAAATCTCACATGGCTACCTATATGCTCTATCTCTCATTCTGATTCCCTGAACTAGATGCATAAAAGACTGTCAAGAAAAAGTGATCCATCCAAGTCGCAGTTGGTAAGCAAACAGTTGAAAAAATGAACCCCTACACAATTCTACTGCACGTCTCAGTCATCATAATAGGTTGTCCTAGTCACAATCCAGTTGTCATGCATTCATTCAAAAGCCATTCGATTCACCAATTAAACTCACAATGCCAATACGATCAAGCAAACAATAGTACTTGGACCCCTCAAATCTCAAGATTTGGACAGTGGACTAGGCTCCAAGCACACACATACAGCCAAACATTCACACACATACATAATCGAACACCCCCCCCCCCACACTTAAGCACGACATTGTCCTCAATGGAGGAAAGATAAGGAGGGTAAAACGAAGTTACCAGATCAAGGGTGAATGATGGTGGACGGGGCAGGCGGTGCATTCTAGGAGGAGAGAGTAGTCGGAACACAAACAACACACAAAATCTCAAAAAGGTTGAGTTATTAACTCTAACATCAAAGAACAAAACTGACTCAACTGAGGAGAGATATGGAAAGAAATGCGAACCGACTAGTTGGGTTGCCTCCTAACAAGCGCTTCTTTCACGTCGTGAGCCGGAAGGTAGCTCCTAAGTTTCGGTCCATGCTAGAACCTCTTTGAAGTTGAGGTTCTCATCTATGAGGTGGAGTCTCAAGTTACGAGCAGGTGGTGTGGCAGGTGATGAAGGCTCGTGCACTTGATGCAACTGAAGTCTCCACCCTCGAGATCTCTTCCTCGTTTCTTCTCTTGTCTCATTGCCCCAAAGCAAATATAAACGTATCGACTGACCACCATCACGTCCAGCAAGAGGGACTGATGTCGATGTGGCCTTGGTCTGGCAAAGTTGCATTGCGAATGGGTCCTTGCTAAGCAGTTCCTTTAAGTTTGGTGGAGATATCACATGTAAATCATGGTCGGTGCAAGCCTCTTCCACCTCAACTTCATCCTCAGCCTGGACACCACTTGCTTCTTCAACCCCCCTGCCTTCATCAGAATATGGCATCTCCCCTTGGAAAAGATCAATAACTTCCTCTTCTTTACTTTCTTCCTCATTCTCCACAACTTCTTCCCTCACCCTTTCTCGCTCTTCTTCTTCTATCACAGATTGGAGACCAAGTCGCCATGTAATTTCTTCAATGAGATCATCTTGCGTCTCATCGCTCGGGCCCAGCATATCAGAGCGGAAATGGGGACAATTGTAATCTATCACTAGAGGATACACTTGATCATGATTATCATGGGAGCTTTCCGTGACAACTTCTATATGCTCCTCAACATCTTCATGATTGCCTTCTTCCTCCTCCTCCTCTACTTGTATGGCAGCATAAAGGTTGTCTTAAGAAAACTGTGCACAAGCTTTCTCAATGACCTCTATGTGCTTCTTTATGCTCCGAAGGGTATCCTCTATTTCACGGGGAAAGGAGAAGTCAGTTTGGGCCATGGCCTGGATATGAGGATCCATCTCGGGAAAGGATCTGTTAGGTACTCGAGCAATGTGCTCCACGAGAAGCCTCAAGTGATAGTTTGGATCTGGCTGTGGAGTGTAGCATAGCTCTGCCGGATGGCCCGTGAGGGCTGTGGCTAAATCAAGATCTGATGGCCCTTCTAGTTGTGGGAGGAATTATTCTGGATAAGTAGGTTGTTCTTGATATGCCCATGGGTCTGATTTTTCTCCGTAGTAAGAGGGTTGGTACTGGGACCCGAATCCATAGTCCTCTCCTCCTTGATTGCTCCAGGAAGTCTCGGGGTAATACCACTCGGATGGTGGTGGATACCCCCACTGGTTAGAGAAGCCATTAGGATCCATGATTCAGATCTGCACCAACAAAAACAAAAACACCCAAGTGAAAAGCAAGGGTGGAAAAAAACGCTGAAGTAACAAACTTTTGCCTTTCCTAATAATCTAGAAAGTCCCCGGCAACGGCGCCAAAAACTTGACTCTCTACGACACAACGCCTAACAATGGCCAAGTGTAACCAATGAAAGGGACTGCAGTATAGTGGCACAAGTAATAAATATCGAATCCACGGGTCTCTAGAGTTACTATTACTCAGCTTTAGTTCATTATCTAAGCAACTAAATTAAGGATTGATTTACTAAACTACTCTACTAAGTACTCTGCTAATTACAAGTTGGGAACTCACTTAGGTATGATTCCCCCTAGCTCCTCAATTAGGTCCAAGTTGCAATTACCTTTGGTTGATCTACTGTTGATTAAACTGTGGAAGATCCTAAATTAGCTTGGAATCTCTTAAACTGACCAAGCCCTCTTAGACAGAATACCCGGCAGGCGACTAGCCTTCACCGGGATAGAGTGCTAAGGTGATTCAGACAGATCTCCACTACTGGAATGAATTCCAGTACAAAGCAGTGAATTGATTGACTCTCGCACAACCAGTTCACCACTATCAATCAAGTAGCTCTCTTAACCTAATCAAATTCTATCTATCATAGGTTAAAGCAGAAATCAAGAGAAGATGATCAGGCTTCAATTGACTCTATAAATCATGCCCCAATCGATTATAATCAAACAATATAGCATCCAAAACTTCATACAAGAAAGATCCTAACACATGGAACTAGAGTTCCTCAAAACCTAAGTGAGGGGAAGTTACTCCATAGAGAAGAGAGAGACTGCAGAAATCTGATCTAGATCTTCAATCTCCATCTCCAAGCTTGATTCCCGAGCTCCAATGGTGAAGAAATCCTACAAAATAGGTCCAAGAATGTTCCCAAGTCGCTCTCTCTCTCTAGGGTTTGTCCCTTGGGTGTTTGGGAACCAAAACCCAGCTCCCCCTTTCCTTTGGCTCGAATCTGCCTCAAAAACCCGATTCTGGGCGAAATACGGGCAGAAATACGGTCGTAATTCTTCCATGCCCGTATTTTCCCCAAAACAGGCATTTTGGTTAAGTTTCAGCGCATCCAAAGCTCTTCTCGGAAGTGAAAATACGGGCATGGGAGGGGAAATACGGTCGTAATTCTCCTGCCCGTATTTCTTCCTCCGCTCCTGTTTAATGCTTCGTTTCTCCCTCGTTCGGACTCCGAATCAGTCGCCGTTTGATCCCAGACGCTTGTAGTCTCGTCCTCTATCTTTTCATGACAAGATTACATGATTATTTGTCCAAAATATGAGGTAGAAGTCCATTCTTTCTCAGGTTATGCTCGTGTTTCTTCTACCGAATTGCCAAATGATCTCCGATTGACTTGAAACTTGCGCCTATGCTTCAATTTACATGATAGGACCTGAAATGTGACAAAGGAACACAACCTAGCATAAAATAGTCCAAGAAATCAAAAACTCAAGGCAAAATGATCAAGAAACGAGGGTGCAAAAATGTGCAAATATGACGTTATAAGTTACGCTGTGAGCGATAGGAAGGCTCGTGTGATACCTCGACTTTGATTTAGGGTCCAACAACAAGTACTGAATGAGATAGACCATAAATTGAATTGGGATTTCGTTCCATCACCTGAGCGAAGGAATTAAAAAGGAGAAGTAGCCACGCCAAGCTACTCGATGCTAATGAGCTTGGCGAGAATACCTTTTACGATTGTGCCCATAGTTTAATTTGTCAAGTTAAACCATAATGAAACACCCTAACCCGGCCGAGCACTACTTTTACTAAAATTCCCTTGATAAATAAATACTCAAACCTTAAATTGCAGCGGGAAAAATTTTCACAAATAAAATACTGAAAACACACACTTGTAGCTCAGAGCAAAGCCCTAACACGTGGGCAAATTCAACTCAAACTTTAAATCTCAAACTGATCTCTAGTCTATACTCATAATCATAAATGTAAATAACTAATAATCTCTAATGTTGTTGCTAATGAAACCTTGACTAAGCATCCTTTGTGACGCTTATACTGCCCTCCTCTAGCTGGCTGCCCTCGAACTTTTCCTCTTGAACTCACTGCTCTCTAACTGCTCCTCTAGCTAGCTGCTAGTGAACTGGTTCTCGCTCATTCCCTTACTAAGGCCTGGTGAGTGAGTTGGGGTCAGTCTATGCCCTTCGTTTTAAACTTTCTAATAATTTTTCACTTCTTCTGAAACACTTAAACTCAAACTGAGGGAAGTTGTTTGTACTTCCATTCTTAAAAATCTTAACTCTTAAAACTGTATGGGAGTAACTGTTACTCTCCATTCTTAAAGCTTAAATCTCAACTTAAATACTTGACTGACACTGGGATCCCTCACTAGCTAGTCCGGTTGTCAACTCATACGTATGAGAAGCCATCCATGCTTTCCTTAAACTTAAACTTAGTTAGGGAAGTTGTAACTTCTGCTCATCTTAAAAGTCTCAAGAGCATAATTGCTGCTCTATCTCAAAATGTCTCAAAAGGCAACGGACTGGCGCTAGTGACTAAAAACACTTAAAACGACTTCACCTTCTTGAAGGTGAGTTACTTCTTAAAAAGAACTTGTTTCTTAAACTTTAACAATAACTCAACCATAACGCTTTAAGGTAAATAGCACAAAGTCACCTCAAATAGCACAAAATCACCTCAATCTTAGCTCAAGCAAAGCACAAATAATCAATCATAAACATAACCAAGCAACGGTAACCAATTCACTAAAATACTTAAAAACATAATACTTAAAATAATACGTAAGGCGTAGAATTTACCCCCTTTACACTCACCTGTTAGTCAACTGATTGGCCTGAGTTACACATCATTTCCTCCTCGTGTGTGGAGTGTCATCTACACCACTTTTGATAACTCTGGGCTATCTCCCAGCTCCAAAATAATTAATCATTTCCCATGAAATTCCACTACGCCTTCATTTGATAAACCTGTACAAATTAGTTGGGTTGTGTTCTTGACCCAACTCCCTGCTCCACCAACCAATTTTGCCATGTCATAGCCATAAAGGGTTGCAACAGACCTCAAAACCACCATTGAAGTTGTGGCTCTATCTACTTTTGCCGATCGGGACGCGTGTACACCCGACAATGAGACCCTGGCCAAAATTGCATCGAAGAGATTGCCTGATCACAACAAGGCCTCCACCTTGAACCGCTTCCCACGACATCCATATCTCAACCAGTGCCCGCAACAGATCGCTCCTTGCTTTTGGTGCGATAGGAAAGGAGTCCTCCATAAATAAATTGCCATGTTCCCCCAAACTATTTGAGTGCTCCAGAAAAACTCTAATTCCTTGGGTACACGCATGGAAAAGAATTGTGTGATGGAAGTTTGGGGAAGAAGCGGTGGAAAGAAAGGAATCTAATAGCTTTCCTGCAACCCCATTTTTGTCCTCTTCCTCTCTCCATGTCCTTGCTGTAGCGGCTGTATTTTGTGAAGGGATTTGGGAAGAAGCACTTTTGGAGCGGTAGTTGTGCGAGGCAAAAGAAAATAACTAGGGTTATGGTGGGGAGGTGTTCCGTCTCCTTTCCGCTCTCACTAGCCGAATTAGCTTGGGGTCTTTTTTTATACGAATACTAATACTAATAATAAGAATGATAGTAATAATAGTTATTATTATTATTATTCCTAATCCCTGGTTGCAACTCTTCGTACATACTCATTAAACCAACCGTTCACATATTATGGTCGAACCGAAACCCAAAGGTCGGGGTGTTACATTTCCTCCACCCTTATAAAAATTTCGTCCCCGAAATTTGTTCGGAACTCATCTCTCCTTTAACACCGACCTTGTACCCCCTTGCCCTAAAAATTATTTTCAATACATCTGCTTCCATGGTGCTCCTTGCGCACTTCACATAATGAAACTGCTCCTCTTATATCTCTTCTCAACCATAACAAGTACTCTCTCTTAGCTTGCAGCACTTGTGTAACTTGAGTGACTCACTGCCCTTTTAATTCTAAGCAACTTGGCCCGGTCGCATGCTAAACAAAATTTCGATTCGATATGATTCATGGTCCAACTCATTAAGTAGTTGGTTGTTTAATCTAGATCCAAATTGAGGTATCACATTTCCTCCCCACTTACGAAAATTTCGCCCTCGAAATTTGTTCTTTGTGACGACCTCAAGTCTCACTTGTGATAATATATTTGCAAGGAATTGTACCTCCTTAACGTGTGCGACACTGAGCTATACATCCTTCCCTTCGATATGATGTGATTTTTGAAGACTGGTAGTTCAACCATTTCTCGTAGACAACTTGCCTAGCTAGCTATTAGCTCGATACAACTATGAAATTCTCCACTCATATGCGGCTTCGATGTTGTGGTCCTTTACTCAAAACATCTTGTGATCACCGCGTTTTCTCAAGATCCCCCCCTTACAATTTCTTAAGCAACATCGTCTAACAATTCACCAGTATCTTGACCTATACTGTTCTCCTTTTCACGATTGTTGATGCACACCTTTGAAATCCATGACGTAAACGTTCATGGTGAGTGTTCGACTTGCTCGGCAATGTCCTGTTGTCTAATGCCTCTTACCCCCTTCACATTGGTCATTTACTTCGAACGTGTTTAGGGCATCCGCTATCTCCATCATTTGGTACATAAGAAGGTAATACCACTTCGAACCCCAAGATTACTTATGTCAGCGTGATCTCCTTTTTGTTCGATCACAAAACTCTTTTAATGTAACCTGTTTGTGGTTGACCACATCGGTCACCTCTGTCCTTGTATCTCCTAACTTATATCTCTTACTTTCTTCCTTGATACTTCATCTTATCCTTTGATCATAAACTGAAAGGTCATCTCCTCGTTACTTCTTTCTTAACACCGAGACCTCGTACTACCGCTTTTACTCTCTGTATGCATCAGAGGCATCCATTGCATCGCACCCCTAACTTGCATTCAAATTAATGCTTCTTTCAAGAATCCTGACATCCTCCTTGGCATGGTTGTTCACCACTGGCCGCCTAACTAAATACTCACTTATTTTCGCATGAATTTGCAATTCTCGTACTATCTATTCTGCTACTCTTAGACCCTAGCTGAAATTCCTCGTACGGTTTCCCCGACCAAGAAATTTCCTCCCAAGAGATTTCCACCTTTCACCAGGATAGGCGACCTTGGTTTCACTTTGGGGTATTCCAGCAGGTTCCCTTAACTCATATCCCAACTACTTCTTCATGCGTGACCCTTCTTCTTGAGGTTCCTTGCTAGATCTAGTTATCCCTTGTTCTCGATGTAGTCCCGTAGGTTCCTATATCCTCTTCTCACTTAAGTACTTTGGCCTATAAGGTTTTTCCCTTCGACTATTCTTGACGATCAAGATTCCACCTTAAAATTGGCCAAAATTTCTTGATGGACTTCCTATGGATCACTTGTTCTTCATTGGTAGTCAACCTATAGCTTCCTGGTAGTCTTTTGTATTCCTGCTTCGACATTTCCTAACTATTTTCCTCCGCGCACACTCCTTGAACTCGAGTCACTTACACATATTCCCACTCCTTTATCAAGAACTTCCATGCACTTCCTTGACTTCATACACTCTACGACATCTCTAATGCCACTTTACATTTATGGGCTTATGGCTTCCCAAAGTCCAGTACTACTTCTAGATTGCTTTCCAATCATTAAGCTATTTTAACTATAAATTCGCACAAAGAAACTTGCAATTCCCACCTGAGACTTGACCCATTGACTTCTTGAAATCTCTTCAAACTTCCTCTAGCCTTCTTGCTCTTTCCTGGTATTGTACGCAACTTTTCTTTATCACCACCGTTGGGAAATCCTCCTCGAATTCTCTAAAATTTATTAAAGCTTCCAATGAACGTTGTACTTTCTTGTCTATACCCGGTTGATTGAATGATTTACTCCTACAGCTGGTTCCGAGACTCCTGCTCTTGGCCCTCTAGTTCCCATTTTAGACTTTCCCAATGGATTCCTTGAAATTCCATGATTTTCTGATTCTCCTTGATCATGGTAATTTGCAAGGTCTCTCAACCCCTTCTCATACCTTGTCCTCTAGCTTGCACTTGACAGGTGTATAGCATGTCTGATCTAACCTCAACCTCTACATCATTTATCTCGTTGCTTGTCTTGTTCCTTTTAAAGGCTTGCTATCAGCCTAACTCCCCAGGGTCATGTACCCTCTTCTCTAGTGAGGTAGTTTGTCTATAAGGGTTCCTTTATCGTTATATGTAGATGACCATGCCTCCCCTCCTCCTTAATCTATTGACTTCTTGACGTCCTTTCAGACCCCCTCTAACCTACTTACTTCCTCATTTACTTCATTTACACTACCCTAGCTTCTCTTGAAGTATAAGCTTTTCACTGCTCCTTATCACTATGTTGTAATAGCGTTGACCACTAAAACTAGTTGAGGGACTTCTCGTGGTACCTCTTTGTTTCTTGGCTCGTTGCTTCCTCGCCACTGCTTGGGGTCAAGGATCCTGAAATCCTCCCATCATTAGAGCTACTGACATCTACTGACTGTAGCTCTTTCTTCGGAGATTCATAGTTCTCCTATTTGTTTGCTTTTGCTTATTAGATCCTCTCCTTGCTACCTAGTAGTAGAATCCTCGTACTACTCCTTCAACTCCTTCAAAATCCTAGAAGTATTCCCTTACGGCTGAAACCCTTATGTTAGAACTTTAGTTATTACCTTGATACGATTAGAGTAGACTGGAGATTCTATAGACTCTTAAAAGAAGACACTTGACTCATTTTCCTTTCCTTTAAAACAAAACCTTTAAAAACTAAGACCAAAATTTCAGTATTCCTTGGAAACCAAGGAACATAGGAAGACGGGCTCTAATACCAAAATGAAACACCCTAACCCGGCCGGGTACTACTTTTACTAAAACGCCCTTGATAAATAAATACTCAAACCTTAAATTGCAGCGGGAAAAATTTTAATAAATAAAAATACTGAAAAACACACACTTGTAGCTCAGAGCAAAGCCCTAACACGTGGGCAAATTCAACTCAAACTTTAAATCTCAAACTGATCTCCAGTCTATACTCATAATCATAAATGTAAATAACTAATAATCTCTAATGTTGTTGCTACTGAAACCTTGACTAAGCATCCTCTGTGACGCTTATACTGCCC